TGGGCTTCACGGTCTCTACTCATGCTCGTAGCGCTTCTGCTCTTTTCGCCAGCTTGTCGATGAACTCTGCAGTCCACAAGGTCACATCTCCGGCGTTTCGTTGATGATCTCGGGACCTCTTCCGTCCACTCATCCTTTCGACCCTGTTGTCCGCGATGACCTCCTCTTGTCTCACCTTCCTGGTGGTTGATCCTGGAGCTAGTCAGGTGGTGTTACGGTAGTGAAGGGTAGCCTCTGCTGGTATACGATTTCTCAAACGACAAGAAGCGTTTCCAAATCTCATACGTTCTCATCAACGGTCCTGTCTTATTGCACTACAAAAATCCTATCAACCAACCTCTTAATTTTCATAGAAGCAGTTTTTTCTCCTACGTTGTTTTTTAAAGTGGGAGTCAACTGAATTCTGCCCCCTCTTTAATGGTAGGCGTTTTTTTCACTGTTCCTCCTTAGTTCACCATACTTTTCAGAGAGTGTTGACATTTATGTTGAAATGACGATATGTTGGTGGATATGAAATTATCTGCCTACCAAACTTAACACTCCCGCTGCCTATGTGGTTGCTCACAAGGAGCAGCATTTATCCACGTTGTATTTATTTTGACCACAGCACTAAACTTGCGATGACGAGGCCTAAAAATATATAATTTATCTACTACTTATTTATTTGACTGTGAGCCCAATCGTTAGTGTTGTCCTTCAAGGTAACGTATCAAGTCCTCTTATATTCATACTGGTAATATCAAGCATGTGTATTCTCTCTCTAACTCTACGACCGAGCGATGCTAAGAATGAATTCCTTCGGACGTGGACGCTCTTTCTGTGTGGAGCTCAACGGGGCTGATGGAGTTCTCACATTGTAAGTGTAGTTAAATGCGTTTTGGGCCTGAAAGGTTACTGCAACCCGTTAGTTTTCAAGGTTGCCCAATGACTGAGTGATTCACGATAAAGCACTTGGGTTTAAGCAACACGAAAAAATTAGATTCCTCGCCTCATGTCGATAGAATTACGAACAAAGCTGTCCAGGTTTGCGGCTTTATTTCTCAAAATTTCTACCTTACTGAAATAAAATAAAGACATAATTGTATGGTTGTACCTCCCATTCTTGAATACTGCTCTCCATTCTTCGGTTAATTAGACGAATCTAGCCGTTCAAAATTTAAAATGTCTAAAGAAAGTTTACAAGGAATAATTCACACACAAATAGATGCCAGCTAACGAAACACACTTTTTGACCTAAGAGACTGGAAGTGAGTTTTTGTCTCATTTTTTGCCTTAATAATAGTTAAAACTTCCCTAAGATTCATTTTTCTACCTCCATTATTCGTCCATACAATTTGTAACATTCTGCTTAAATTATACCTCCTTCTGCATTTTCAACTTCAAAACGCTGTCTATTCTTTTGCGTCAAGGGCCGAGTCTGAACCGTGACATAGGCTCCAACTAGGTTGTCTGACGAGGCGATCGGAACGCCAGCAGTGAGAGCACTGGAGTAGTTGCTAGGGATGTGTCGCGCCATTTGTCCTCATTTTCGTCTGACTCAAGATATTTTCAAATTGAACTTCTGCGTCTTATCTGTTCTGTCGTTTATTAGGAAAACAAAATTGTATCCTAAGGAAAGTACTTCGAACAAGTGTTTGTTAAGCGTCAAATAAGTCAGGTTGTGTACCGCTCCGGAGCA